ACGCGTTGGCTAGATGCTGAAACATTGAACAGGTATTGCGCAGATGCTGAGATATCAAGCAATTTTTGAGAGGGTGTAAGTGTGGATGTGGGTATCTATCATGTCTTGACCCACACCCACCATATCCAGCCCACCTTTGCCTACTATCAATCTGTTTTATCGACTTCACCCATTCTCGCCTACTTCAATCTAGCCACGACATGTTTCACCCACTTTAAACCGTGTTCACCTCCCCAGAACCTGTCTTAACTAACTCCAAGACGTTCTGCGCATTTTTTTCAACCCTCAATCAGTTCCAGCCACCCTCTTTTGAAAATTACTAAGAAACTGAGCAGATACCGAGGTGTTGTCGACACCTGGGTCGCATTTCCCTCCTTGCCCTAAAGGGACAGTATATCCTCATTACTGTGAATATACAAAATAAGAGATAAATAAAAAGAAAAAAAAAGAACGAATTGGAAACATATTAAGGTTTGCACAAGTGGTGAGTTGTGGGTGTGGGTGTCAGAAGTGATTTCTTGCTCACCCACACTCACACCCTTTTTATATAATTTTACTTTTCAGCGTTGTAATCAATTGTTGTATACTCATATGTTGATTTGATTATCAGTTATCAATGTAATGTTGTAAAATATAAACGTTTCTCTTCTAGAACACAATATTACCATTATTAGTGAAGCTGTAATATAGACATTTAATTGTTCAAAGAATTAATTCTTTGATTACAGTTGCTCTTTCAAGGATGCATCCCAAAATTTTATTTCGATGGCTGTATAATAAAGTATGTGATTATAATCTTTTCATGCTCGATGATAATGAGTATAATGATGACGACGATGAGCCAGAAGAACCAACAACTGTTCTCAAAAAGCAAAAATATACAACTTGGTTGTATATTCTTTTTCTTATGGGTAAGTAAAGTGTGGAGTGAGTATTATATCCGTATCATACATGCCTTCAGTAGAGTTCATAATTTTTTTGAATATGGAGTCGCATGTTAATTATATTCATACTATTTTCAAGAAAACCTTTTTGTCTTGTTACTTGATAGTCACTTTACTAATATAAATTGCTTTTTTTTCACTGATTTATATTATTAACTAATAGATTTCGTACTTTTATTCACTCACACATTCTCAAAAGTATAAAACTATAGAAAATCTGAAAAATGAAGTTTTTCTGTTAAATGCAAAAGTGAATGACAGTAATTGTCAGGTGAAAATATTTATTTGTTTTTCTTTATATTTACTATTAACTTTAAAAAGCTTTTTACTTTTTTCTCATAAGAATGCAATGAAATATGGATTTTATAAATATTCAAAATTAGTCAATGAATGCGTTTAAGATGTGAGGTATTCAATTATTTAAATTATGAAATCTCGGTTTCAATTAATAAATTCTTTCGAAAATGAGAGACAGATTTTATCTATCTTATTGAATAAACTTCAGTGTTATGTTATTCTCTATACTTTATTATTCTATATTTTTTAAGTTCCATTGAGTTTAAATATAATTGTTTATCGAAAGACTCAAAAGAAAACAATTCTATTGATATTTATGTCTCTTTATTTGTTTTCAGTGTCTCTATATATTCTTTTCTACATTGCTTTGATCAAGCCACAATCTCGAACGATCACCAAATCATACATTACTATTGATATTTTCAATCAACTGTATGTTAAATATCCAAAAAACTCTTAAATGCTCCTGTTCGAATGTGACATTGCCTTATGAAACTTTTGTTTCGCATAAAATCACATTTCATCCGGTTTGTTCGAGCATTTTCATCACTGAAAAATGGATTAAAGAATTATATTTCTTAAATGCAAGTCAATATGGAGCGTGGGATTTCCGAAAAATAGCTAATTCTCAAGTTAGTTAATTTTATTTTCAAAAGATCGATTTATTTAAAAATGAAAATCATATCTATAAAGATTAAAGATTAGTTTTAATTATTGATCTACATCAAGTATAAAAATTAATTTCTTAATAAAATCATGTTTTTTTTATTGATTTCAATGAATCAAACTGAATTACCCTACAGAATTTTGAGTAACGAATATAGTTAACAAATCTTAGAATCTTAATGTAATTAGTACTTATTCAATTAGCATCTATATAATTGGTATTCATTACTTTATTGAGATTCAATTTCTTAATATAACTACACATATTTCAGAATAATGTGTCACAATTATTCTCAGAAAAATTAGTACGTTACCTTTCGGAATAAAGGAATAGAGAATATTGTAGAATCCTACGGAACTATGCATGATCGAGATATTTCTGAAATATTCTGTAGTTTTCAGTAAAATAAAGTATATACGACAGGATGTAGCTATGCCATAAGAAAAGACATCCGCATTATACCGTCAATCTAGCAAAACATATTTAAGGGACCGAGAAGATTAATCTGTAAGATTATGTAAAATTGAGCTATTCTGTTTATGAATTATCATGCGATGATTGATGTTTAGAGCAGAATAGAAATTACCAGAGATTCCAATAAGATAATGATATATCAATTTAATCTATCGTAAATAATATGCTCAAAGTTGATCACTTTAATTGATTTTCTTTTTTAGTTCGAACTTCTGGCCAAATTTTGTTTACTCTCTGGCCAAATAGTTCAGCAAAATCATATTGATATTGACAAGAATGAATTTGTTACTATTAATCTTCTTTCTGAAGAACAACTTCGTATACAAGTCAATACTACCATTGAATCTTTGAAGAATAACGCATCTCTTCAAATTATTTCGTTCTTGAACTATTTTAGAACGAATACTCGAGCAGATTACCATATTTCAGCTCTCAATACAAACTTGATAGTCGCATCTACAATCTACGTGGATTGTCCTGTTGCAGGAATGTCGCGCAACCCAGTGACAAAGTGAGTGGCGGACTTGAATATTTCTTGTTAATGTATGTTGATGAAACTGTACTTGATTCAGACTTCAATTCTGTATCTAATAGTGATATTAACGAGAAGGAAGAGAAAGGAATCATCAATAAAACAGTGACGAGGGCAGGGATTAGCGTGAATAAATTGTACCTTTTTTTTAAGGCCGTGGGTGTCCGAGCATCTCTTCTCTTCATACCCACACCCATCCTACTCTTAGCTTAATAGCAAATAAGATTAGAGAGCAACTATCTCCAATACACTATACGTCTTGCTTCTTTAGTATAGGATATTTTTATTGAGATAATATTTGCTTTCTTCTTCGTCATTCACATTTCATATAATATATGTTACACTCTACGGGCCGATAATTTTCTTCATTATTTCGGATACATCCAAGTTCACATTATTGTCTATCAACAAATTGGAAAGGTAAACTAGAATGAATCTCCCTATTTAAGTGTTTTGATTACACAGAAACTACTGAAAATTCGTAGATTTTTCATTTTTAAGACTTCAATGTTTGAGAGAAGAATCAACAATCATTGGAAACAAGTAACTTATAGTGAGCAATTGCATAGGGTGCAATGAAGAATTTTGTGAAGTAGTGTACAATTTGATTCGAATATCAATCATAACTATATAATGAAATCGCTTGAAAATATCATCATTGAGAAGAATCAACGAAAAAAAAAAATGTTACAGTTCTACTTAAGACATAAACAAAAAATATTCAAATCTTTTATTAACTTTCTCTATGTATATAATATATTATTTAAATATCTTTAGTTACGGTGGGAAAAGGGTGGCCGAGACTTGTGAAACAGATAATCCAATTGTTAAAACTACTTTCACATTATACCCAGGCAACTCTTTCAGTCATGAGGCGAGACAACAGCTTATAGAATGGGTGGGTTCTAGATGTAATGCAGGATTTTTTGCTGGATGTCCTCTAATTGAAGGATTTTTCGCTGGATGTACTCCTCTTGAAGGTCTTCTTGTGAGCACTCTCGACTGTTTATATGATATTAAATGTGTTCAGTTACTGATTGATCATTTTCCAACTCTTAATCGGGTATGTATAATGTTATTTTATTTCAACTACATATTATACTTTTGCTTAGTTGAATATATCCCTGATGGATTCTATTCTTGTTGCACCAAAACAAAATAAATCTGTGTATGATCATTTACGTAATCTTTTCATTGATGAATGGTCAATAAATATAAATTATTCGAAATACTATGATGAATGTGCTCCTACATCTTGCACATATATCATAATTGATCAAATTAATTTTTCTTATGCATTTACTCTTCTTATCAGTATCTATGGTGGTCTCATTATTATACTTCGTTTAATTACACCATTCTTAGTCAATATGTCAATGAAATTCAATTGTTATTTAAGAAATAGAGGTGCTCAGTTGTGTATGTTTTCAATAGAATTAAAATTTTTCTATCTCTAATGTAATTTCTATCTATAACTTCTAGTGTCTTGTAAAATATCTTTAAACCGATTAAGTCAATCAACGAAACGGTTAAACTTGTTTAAGACGGCTGATGATCGAACAGAAAACACCATTAAACAACAGAAGATTACTACATATGTTTATTTGATTTTATTAACAGGTACGGTTATTTTCATTCTTCAAATATTTACCATTGTATAAAATAGAAATAAGTTGATTCGTTAAAAATATCTAGTTACTATGTTATCAAATGATGAATATAATATTCTCATTCACATTCATCCTTATCTTAGTAAAAATATGCGTTTATTAAATTATGAATTCTTTGACTAAGTTCAAATAACTTCCAATTTCATAAAATTGAATTTATTTTCACTGGACTAAGTCTAGTCAGTCTTAGACAAAATCTTACTATTGAAAGTATATTTGTATGAAAGCATCATTTTCTTATTTTTTATTCAATAGTCTCAGTTCTGGTTCTTATTATCTTTACATCCCTAAGTACTCAAACAGTTACAATACATGAATCAAATCCATCTTTAATGACTTATAAAGATTTACAAGTTAGGTATCCGAGCACACTCAAATGTCCTTGTTCGAATACAGTAATACGTTATGATACGTTTATGTCATTGTCTCCAACTTTACATCAAGTATGTTCCAGTGATTTTGTTCATGACGATTTTCTGGAAGCAATGAGCGGCAAGAAACCAACTTTTGGTAGTAAGAGTGATTGGACTGACCGAGCATTCTCACGTTTTCAGTTGTTGATGGACCTTTGTCGACTAGCTAATCAGACTATCAATGCCACCATTGATCGTTTTACTATGCAATCCATCGTTATTTCAAACATGCTTAGTGAAAATGATTTTAATACACAAATAAACGTAACTCTCGATCAACTCTATCGATCGACAGTTGCAGATTTTCGTTTTGCAGTTGACATACAACGTCTTTTTGTGCAAATCGATCAACCTTATACAGGAAAAGCAACGGAATCCAACCGCTATGTTACAAATCTAATCATAAAAAGAAATATGACATATTCAGTAAACAATCCACAACCATCACAGGTTATATTATTTTTTCAATCAATAAAATGTTTCTTTTACATTCTGCTAGCAATACTATATTATACTAGTGAATAAATGAGAAATTAAAAAATATAATTGTGAGAATTTCTTTACCAGTCATAGAATAAAGTGCTATGTATATAAAGATCTTCGTACAGTTGTTTTCTTTTGAAAAGGTTTTCGACTGTGAAATATGAAATATAAGTTTTCATATTTGACTAATGAGAAAATAATTCTTTCTTTCTTTTTTAGGTATCATTTCTTTTCACTGAAATTTATGATGGAAATTTGACATTGATCAATTGTGGTTGTGCTACTAATGCTCATTGTCAAACTTCGGCTTTTATGTACCATGATAAAAATCTCGCTGAAGACGGTGTTTATATAATACCAGGCATAGTTGAAGGTTGTTTTGTTATTAATTCACTTCTTGACTCCACACTTCAATGTTTATATCCGGACTCAGAGTGTTTTCCAATTCTATTCGGTCGTCTACTTGAAGGGTACTTTAAT